CTGTTATATGTAGTATCTTGAGATTGTTGTATCAAAGGGTTGAACAAGTTTCTCCTTCCTTTGAATATCTGTTGTATTCTTTATCTTGAGATTATCGCGATAAATTTCTTTTATATATATGACAATGTTAGTGCTTGATTTGTTCAGCTTGTAATGAATTTCCAGAGTACAAGCTTTAAAGGGACAAGTTTTTTATGTCAATTGTGTAGGTGTGCTTCTTCTTTCCAATGTAACTTTTTGATTCCATGTACACTCAAACATCTCTGCAACGACATCATTTGCTTAATTCTTCTTCCTTCCGTATCTCAATAGAAAATCCTCTCAATGTGACCTGATTGTTTTCCGTACAGAGAATCCATAAGCGTTAGATGGAGACTTTGTTATCCACTGATTCAGAATCCCAAACTTGGGTTTCTATGACTTTTCTCCGTAGAGCTTGATCCTCCCTTGTGAATATCGATCTCCATAACCATTTACGAAGGAGACTGTCATTTTGAACTTTTAAGTTTGTTACTCCGAAACCACCAGCTTTTTGCCTGAGGTACCCCTCCAAAGTATACTGAACTTTTCCGTTTGTTAGCCTTTAATCAAGAAGTCATATAATACATGTTAAAACAGTGTTGGATATGAGTAGCAGAAGGCGAATTACCTCTTGCAAACCTGAGGTGAGTAATTCCCAGCTTAGTACATCTCGGATGGAATTTGAAGCTCTTTTTTCTTGCTTAAGTCCATTTAGACACCTACTTAGGTACTCCATGACAATAGAAAACAGGTAAGGATACATGAGATCTCCTTGTCTATCTCTCTTAGCAGCTGGAAAGGGAGGAGCTTATGCTTCACAGATGATGCTGGAAATCACCTTCGGTAATCTGGCTGCAGGGATCTTAGATATGATTTATAAGACTATAGAGCAACAAGCTATAGGCCTAAAATCCTTTGCAGTACAGTTTATAAGACTACATTCAATTACATCTTTTTTTATCAGGCATCAAGATTGACGGTGGCCAGGGGCGTTATTCAATTGATTATCTGTTGTATGTTGTATCTTGAGATTGTTGAGACAAAAGGTTGAACAAGCTTCTCATATGCGTAATTTCTTCATACCTATGACATTGTTAGTGCTGGTAAATGATACATGCTTTAAAGGGAAGAAACTTGAAAAATGATTATTCAGTAGTATACTTGTGGTGCTTTGTTTGAGAATTTTTCTCTAAGCTGACAAAATTCCTATATATAAGGTTCTAGTTTTCGAGTTGTTTGTCCTCGTTTTACAATAACAGAGAAGTTAGAAAATTAATGTATTTATTCAACTCACTTTGGAAATGAGCATATAAGGAAAAAGCATTTGCTTGCTTGGCATATCATCGCATATGCTAAAACCTTAGTGCGTCTTGTCCCACACCGGTGACAGAAGACGTATACATATAATTTATAAGAACTCAACAGACACTGTATATCGCTGAGCTCAGTAGCATGAGCTTGTAACCCAAGTGGGAGCAATAAGATGATCGGGACAAACCAAATCTTTAGCCTTTGACACAAATAGTGCGTTGGTTTGGGTTTATAATTAATAATAAGCGGTTCTTGGTAATAGTATGAAGTATTATTATTCCGACACTAATAAATAAATAATAATAGTACTTTGACATGGCAGTAAGCTGTGGGAGTTGATGGGGTAACTCGCCCCTCATTGACTGGCTTAACAGAGCAGCGCTCTCACTGTCTCACATTACATGACAGCTTCTGATGGCTGTCAAAGACCAGTTCACGCACACTCCCGACTCACCACTAGAAATGTCAGGCAGTTATCGGTTTGGACCATCATCTTTTTATTTGACCAAAAATTAGACTTCGAAGTCCATTCCAATCATATAGGTTTCTCATGAACCGAAACAGTTTTGGATCAGAGTCGACTCCTACATACTTGAAAGGCAGTTCTCCACAGTAAGTTCAATAACTTAAGGAAATATTGAACTTACTGTGGAGAACTGCCTTTCAAGTACGTAGGAGTCTACTCTGATCCAAAACTGTTTCGGTTCAGGTTAGAGAAAAATTCTCAAACAAAGCACCACAAGTATACTACTGAACAATCATTTCTCAAGTTTCTTCCCTTTAAAGCATATATCAACTGGAAACAAATCAAACACTAACAATGTCACATATATGAAAGAAATTCACGCATAGGAGAAGCTTGTTCAATCTTTTGTCTCAACAATCTCAAGATTCAACATACAACAGATATTCAATAGAATAACGCCACTGGCCACAGTCAATCTTGATGCCTGATAAAAAAGATGTAATTGATTACCGAAGGTGATTTCCAGCATCATCTGTGAAGCACAAGCTCCTATCCCTTTCCAGCTGCTAAGAGACATAGACGAGGAGATCTCATGTATCCTTACCTGTTTTCTATTGTCATGGAGTACCTATGTAGGTGTCTAAATGGACTTCAAATTTCATCCTAGATGTCCTAAGCTGGGAATTACTCACCTCAGCTTTGCTAGCTGATGACTCGCTATTTATTGTAAGAGTTGATTTGCCTTCTGTTACTCATATCCAACATTGTTTTAACATGTTCTATATGGCTTCTGGATTAAAGGCTAACCTAATGAAAAGTTCAGTATACTTTGCGAGGAAGTGTGTACTCCAAAATGCATTGGTGGACTTCAACTTGTGTAATATTAACTTCATCTCAATTTCCCCCCTCATGGCCTTAGCTTATTCAGAATGACTTTCAATGTTTCTGCATGCCTTATTGCATATTTGTTTTGTATGTGTATATTTTCTTTCTAGAGGGATATTAATGTAGTTGTTTAGTTAATAATCTGTTTTTTTCTTTCATTTGGGGTCATGTGGACTTCACAGACATGAAATCCTCCAATACTGCCGCCATTTTCTGCCATATTAGAAGGTAACTATGAACCTTTACTTTTTCAGTTATCGAACGCCTTTTGGAAGGGATGTACTAATTTTAGTATCAGTACAGAGTGTTGTGAAGTACTGTAGTAGAAAAGAAAAATTCCCATGAATCAGGATGCGTATGAAAAATCTTTCATTTGTGAGGCTGTAATTCTTTTTTCTTATACATAACTTGGAAGTTTTGGTTTTAGCACTTGTTTCCTTGTTTGAGTTTTGGCACTTTTCTCTTTGCTTTAGTTTTTTCATGAGAGTTTTTGTTTTGAGTAGCTTGGTAATATTTCTTGGCTTGTAAATGTTCTAGATGGCACTGATCCAGATGCGGTGGCAAAGTCGTTGCATAAGTTTGTGAACTATGGGAAGAGAAACAAAGAGTCAGTGGCTGAGTTGCTAGTTACACTGTTAGCCAAGGTACTGGGAATCCAGTAAATCTGGCTCATTATGGTCTCGTTTCATTGCAGTTATTGTCGGTTGAGAAGCTATGGGCCAAAGGACTATGTTCAAGTACCTACGAAGCATCTTGGCTATCTAAAACATGGGACTCCAAAGTTTGCTGCATCAGTGCAGTTATCTTTCACTTATTGATGTCCTTTGTGCTAAGTAATCTTTCAAAGTGCTGTATTAATGGATTATCGTGATCTTTACGGGTTGAGGATTTCACTGATCGGTCTCAAAATGCTGTAAGAGCTATTGGGAAAGCAGAAGTGATACGCATATACAAGTGTATCCAGCGTACTAGCGAATACATTTCTGCTTTTATGGATGGCCTTGTCGAAATACCCACATTAAAATATCAGTTGTTTGGACGTGCTGCTCCCTTTCAAGACGGTTCTGAGACAAGGAACATTATAGAAGATGGAAATACAACCACTCTTCCTTGTACGGATATCAAGAAGCAGGATCAAAGTAAAGAAAGCCAGAAAGGAATTCAGTCAACTATACCTTCTGAACCTATCACGTCAAAAAGAAAATGGTCTACTGAAGGTTGGGAAGGATTAACTTCAGTGAGCTGTGGACAGTCAAGAGGAAAATGGTCTACTGAAGGTTGGGAAGAAGTACGTTCAGCGAGTTGGGGACAGCCTAAGGAGGATGGTGGACCACCCGACTCTCCTTGGTCAAAAGGAAAATGGTCTACCAAAGGTTGGGGAAAAGCATCTTCAGCGAACTGGGGACAATCAAATGGGGACAATATACCACCAGACTCTATCTGGACGAAAAGGAAAAGATCAGATGAAACCCGGGGAGGAACTTCTTCTTCTCAATGGTTGGGAAAATCAGACACAAAAAGTTGGCCCAAAAGAAAGCACAACAATAAGCATGCACCTAAGGCTAAGTGGTCGAAAATGCAGACAAGAGGTTTGGGAGGAAGCTAAATTAACCATTTGGTTCTGGATTAAGTAGGTTGCGTGTATCTAGTTGAATCATCTGCAACAACTTTTACATTCTTGCTAGAACGTTGGGAGTATTTCTTTTGAGCTAGGTAATGTATCCATCGTCATTCTCTTGTTTTTGTACTGGTCCGTTAGGACATTTTGTACAGATCGACCTAGCAATGACCTTAGCAAGATGGAATGTTAATTGCTCAATGTACATTTAATTTTATGTACCTTACGAACATCAAGGAATTGAAGGAAAAATAGATTCTTAAGAAGTCAATTCTCTCTCTCTCTCGATCTACTTTACTATGAATAACAGAGGAAATAGTAGATTTCATTCATGTTGTCAATAAATGTCTCAAATAAAAGTTACCCAATTTGATGTGTAGAGTTATTCGATACTCGTACTGGCAAGATATAGCAAGTGTTCGATATAATAGTCGAAATGTGTGCGATATGAACCCCACACCATCATTATAAAAATAAAAAAATCAACAAAGAAAGACAATCAATCAGAAAAGTTCCATCAAATTTCTATGACAGTAGAAACTTGATTCCAATAAAAATAAAAAACATACTAAAAGAAACAAGGTTTTTAAGTTCTAGCTGAACTTAACAAGTTAAGCCCGATGCAGAAAGCATCCCGCATTCACGCAGGGTTTAGAAAATTTATTTAACAACATAGTCTAATATAATAATAATAAAAATCTAAATTTTGCTGCCTCTAATAGTCTTAATATCATCGGCACTAGCTATAGCATCCATTGAAATACCAGCAATCCCTCTTTTTGAAAATCCAGCACAGTAGAGCCCATTCTCTCCTTTCCAATTTATCAATGTGCCATCTTCAAGGAATATTGAGCTATAATCCTACATACAAAAGAAAAAATTAGTACATTATTTGAGACAATGATGGTAAAATTAATAGTAAGTGAAATTAGTAATCAGGAAAACTTATCGAGAAAAACTTATCCGCACACAATATTTATAGGCAAGTGGAAAATTTCAAGACTCAAATTTAGAATTAAAAAAAAGAAGAACATAGTGATAATTTGCAAAATGTACCTTTAGCCACTTGGTAGCAATATTCTTGTATCCAGTAGCAAAAATGATTGCATCAAATTGATGTTCATCTCCATTGTCAAACACTACTGTATGTTCCTTTATGTCCGATATTCCATGAAGTACCTAATTAACAATTCACCAAAAGTTATTTCACAAAAAAAAACCAAGTATTATTTCCTTTTTTTATGATAGATTATTAATGCATATTAAATGAACTATTTACACAAATTTCTGTATTGGCCAAAATTACTAAATTCTACCAATTTCGTAACAATAACAGTTAAATTGTTGCCCATGATAATGAACATGTATTTTTACTCTTCTTCATTAAGTACTACTACTAGGTTCTTGGAAGTAATCAAATTTGAACTCGTGATGTGCGCCTAACAATACATCACATGTTGTATTTTTACTATAAGACCAAAACCCTCGGAGAAACTAAAGCCATCTGTTTTTCACATATTATTTTTCAAAATAGAATGAAATAAAATAAAGATAGTATCTTACCTTAATTTGTCCAAGTTTAATCTTGTCAATAGCACCAACATCAATTACTGGGGATCTACCTTTTGATATTTTAAAGGAAAATGGGCTTTCTTCTGGTTGGGGTATTCCTAATTCTGCTAAATTTCCGAACTTAAATTTTGCGTACTTTGCAATTACAGTATCAACCAAAGATATTGGTAAATATTTTAGTAACAACATTGCAGTGTACACCATCTCCCTTGTTAGAACATGAATCTGCAAAAACATTAGGACAAAATATATTAAAACTTTTAGAATTAACAATCATATTTATCAAAAAATAATAATTGATTGTGCATGTGAAAAACTTGCATCATCTAGCTATAGAAAAGTTATAGCACTTTGGGAAAACATCATGAACTATAATGTACATATTTATGAGTGTAAGTTTCATCTTTTGACAATATATTAAAAAAGAAGTATGAAATCAGATAAATTATAACGTAATTGTATATACCTTGTAGTATTCAAAAACATAGATCAAAGTTGGTAACTGGAATTATCAAGGGTTCTAAAAAAAGAAATATATATGAGTAATGCACGAAAGATTAAATTAAAAGAGAAATCAAAATTTCATATACAGTTAGTGCAAATAATTTTTGTGCTATCATTTATCAAGTCATCTAACTGATATCTATAGATATGTTTCTTCAAAATTATGAGATTCAAAATCTTAAAAAGTAAAATATGTTATCTGTGCAACATGTAAAAATGACGATGTATAAAATTGTTAATAAGACAAACTTAGCAAAAATCAAGATTCTACTTATAAGAAAAAGAAACCCTAGTTCTTTTTCTTCGAATTCAGTTCCTCAAAGTAAAAAATATATGAGTTATTTATACTTATACTAAACAACTTGTCACCTCACCAAATCCTACTCTTCTTTTTCTCACGATATAAAATATCCGATGAGACCTGAATTTAAAATTTCTAATTTTGTGCGATTTTGAAATGGAATAATGAGATGTTTCTATGTTTATAGGATATTTAAATATCTATCCCAAATTTTTTTATTTACAATAATCCAACATCATATTCCTTAATCACTTTCTAGTCAATCAGTATTCCCTTTTTAAAGAAAAATTGATTTCATTAAATCAACTTTGAATTCATAATCGAGGTTGTTTTTACAATTTTATATAGTGCTTGGAGAGTATGTTTGTGAAATTTAACACAAATGACGAATCGGTGGAAGTTATTGGAGGTTAAGCTAATTCAAAAATAATTTTTTGATAAGAAATACCACAAGGGTATATATGACTGGGTGGTCAATAAAGTAGAATGAAAATCATGAGAAATCATGTTCATATTTCGACCCTTTCACATAAGGGTATGACCTGGTGTTGATGGTCAAGAAACCCATACCCAATCTCTTGATGAATCGAGTTACAACATTACAAATGCTAGTAAAAAGTAACAGGTACCATGTAAAATAGTTGATGTACAACTAAACTAATCGAACACAACCATTTAATTTTTTTATAACAAACACAAACCTACTCACATGCAAACAAATAACGATAAAAGTAAAGATAAAACATAAATAGATAGAGAGACTTACTGGACTTCTCACAACAATTGATGTGTGACTTTCATAATTTGAAAGATCAAAAGCTATTTCCATCCCAGAATTTCCTGATCCAACGACCAATACCTTTTTATCCTTATATTTTTCACCAGATCTATAATCACTTGAATGGATTATTTCGCCTTTGAAATTTTCTATTCCTAGCATTTTTGGAATATATCCTTCGTTGTTTTCTCCAGTAGCCAAAATCAAGAAATCACTAGCATATAATTCGATTTCTCCGCTAGTCAAATTTCTTGATTTGACATTCCATTTCTTTTCCGCACTGTTGTAAAAGGCCGATTCAACACAAGTTTGGAATTTTGGCTTGATGTTGAAATGCTCAACATACTCATCTAAGTATTGAATAAATTCTTTTTTCGGCATATACTTAGGTGATGAAGTTGCATGTGGCATAAATGGCAATGAACAAAAGTCCTTTGATAGATGCAAATGAAGTCTATCATAAGTCTTGTTCTTCCACAAATAAGCACAACAATCTTGTTTTTCTAAAACAACATTGTTTATGCCCAATTTGTTTAGACAGGCTGAAACAGCCATACCGGATGGTCCAGCTCCAACCACAACAATGTCAATTTTTTCCTTTGTGAAATTAGCCATTGCAAAATTTTCAGGAAATTAAAGAGAAGTTTTTTTTTTTTGAGAATGTTGAAAAGAAAATTGCAACTGTTGGGTTTTAAAGGTGTGAACAGGAAATGAAGGGTTGTGACTCTCCTGAAGAGTTGTGACTATGTCGAAGGGTTGTGAACTTTATGAAAGGTTGTGTCCTTTCTAAAGGATTGTGACCGTTTGAAAGGTTATGCCTTTTCCAAAGTGTTGTGACCTTTCTGAAAGGTTGTCTTCTTTCCAAAGGGTTGTGACCTTTACCCTTTGTTGGCTATAAATAGAGTGATTTTCTCTCATTTTTCTGTATCGAATTCTTCCCTTCTTTTGCATACATTTCTTACAAAACAAAATCGATCGATCGTGTCTGTGTGTGTGATTCGTTGCTGTCAGTTTGAGTTCGTTGAAATTATCGAAGTTTGAGGTACCGCTACTTCTTTAATGGTTAATCCGTTTTATCTTGGGTGAAATTAATCTGCAACCTCGGGGTACTTGAGGGGATTAAATTTCTTAAGGACACATAGTGGGTTCTGTGGACTCGGATAGTTCTTTGTGTTTTTCTTTTCATCTTTTATTATTTCTGGTTTGCTAATCTGAATACAGGAGATAACAAGCTTAAGAATTTATTGATGGTATTTTATGTGGTAAGGAAATTACTTCTATTTTCTGTGTTCTTTTTATTGGGGAAAGAACAAGATGAAAAGTAGAATTATTTTATCATATGATAAAAGAGATTTGGGATGAATTAGTACTACTTTAATATGTTCGAGTATATTTTTTGTAGTAAGTTTTCCTTGGATGGGTAAGATTATTATTATTTTCTTCCCAAGTGCATTCAAGCATTACACCCCTTCAGTTTTCTTTTCAATGAGAAAAGTTATATTATGCATAAAGGCTAAGATGAGCACTTTAATTTTTTTCCTATATTCTTGGTTTTATATAACTATAAGAAGAAGTAAATGAACAGATGTTATCTCCTAACAATATTTGAACATGAATTTAGTTTCTCGTTGAAATTCAATGTTTTATGAGGAAAATTGGAATATGATAGAAACTGGAAAAGAAGGAAAAAATTAGCAAGAAAAGTGACTTGAATGGAATCATTCCTGACAAATAGAATGTGATTCAATGGGGTAATAATCAGGTTTTATCTTTATTTCCCTTGTATTTTTTTTCTATCCTTTATAAGTTATGAGATTTATTTCATAAATGTTAGGATAGATGATCATTATTGTGATGATCTCAGAATATATCTTTATTAATATTAATATGTATTCTGTTTAGAGGAAAAAAAGAAGAAAAACTTTTGTAGTTTTCTACTCCATGTGAAATTTGATTATGTTTAACTTTTGGAGACTAAAATCTTCTGGATTTTTTTTAGTCATTTGGTTTGAAGAATATAAGAACTTCACGAACAAATCAGATTGTGCATTGGTTTGAGAAATATAGAAACTTCACCAATTTGTTAAATACTCTATTTGAATTAATATTCTGACTTGAAGAGTACAAAATCTTCGTCAGGAATATTAAGGCTAAATGATTTGAAAAAGATAAAATCTTCATCGTTAGCTAGAAACATTGTTGTATTTGAGGTTTCTGGAGATTATAACCTTTTTGGTTTACTACTCCGTCTGAATGCGAAACTGATGCGAAAAATATAAAAACTTCATCAGAATTCAAGGTTCATTCGGTTAACGATTAGAAGAATATAAAAACTTCATCGTTAAACTAGAAACAAGTTGTATAAAGATTGAATCTTTATTGTTAGTATTCTAAATACTAAGTGTACAAAATCGAACCGAAAATCGAATCAAACCGCAAACCGAGTCAAACCGGAAAAAAAGCCTGACTAGTGGTTTGGTTTGACTTGGTTTGGACTATATTTGGGTTGGTTTGGTTTTAACTAAAAACAAACAACCCGAGATCAAACCAACCTGACATTATATATGTAATTTTAAAATTTTATTTTATACATAAAAATATTTACTTTGATATAATTTTAAAATATTTCTTATACTATTTCATAGTTTTTATCTTTTAATATATTATTTCAAGTTTAAAACTTAGAATTTGGAATGGTCCAATAAAGATTATAGTTCATAGATGTTGATAATTATAATAAAACTTAAATCAAAATCAAATTAATACTAATGCAAAAAGAAAATCAATTCAACACTAAGAATGACAATAATATTGAATATTTGTTCTTTAGTTTTACATTGGTTTAGACAATTAAAATACATAATCTAATTTTAATTTTCCTTAAATATTTAGTAATGTAACTAATACTTATTAAACTTATTTTAGCATGATTTAATACTTTTAAATTATGATCATTTTCATTATGACGTTGCAATATTTATTTTATATGATGATTTCATTATTATTTTTTATT